CTCCATCTTTGTGCCTGGCCAGAAAGAGCATGTCACCCAAAATTTGGGGAGGAAACCGCTTCTCCTCTTCAGACCACCTATGATAAAAGTGCTGGCACGTCAAAGCTTCTCCTCTTCAGACCACAGGCCACCTATGATAAAAGTGCTGGCACGTCAAGTGCATGAAGGCAGCAGAGGAAGAGTCTCTCCCCAGCTCCAAAATTCCACCCCACCTTTTGCTCACCTTTCTCTTTTACCTGTGACATACTTCCCCATTACCTCTGAGTTCTGATAGTAACAGACAGTGTCCCTGAGTAAACAGCCTGCCAGGCTCATGGAATGAATGACTCATGTAAGCAAAAGCTCAATCTGTTAACGGAAAAGATTGCCCTGTCGTCATGATGAGGACTCCTGCTCATTTTTTTCTAGGTTGAACAAGGCCATGGCAGATGGGATTCTATCAGAGGCCCCTTTAATTGTCTTCAGAGGCCAATTACTAGGCCAGAGGGTCAGAGAACTCAACCTATTTCCCAAACCTTTGAAGTTTCCATTAGTACTGATACGTATTTTGTTCTCCTTGGGATTCATTGACATGCAGTGGATGATCGGTTGGTTTTTCTATCAGAGAATTTTGAGTATGTCTTAAACGTTATGAGACTTGGCCTTGGACTTGGGAGCCCTTGATTCCAGTCCTCATTGAGGCTGAAAATGACTGTGATTTTTTTGAGCAGATACTCTGTCTCAATCTGACCTACCTGAGAAGATAGTTATGAAGATAATGTGTGGAAGGAACAGCCGTATATGCCACTTGTGCTCATTCATGGAAATAAGAAACATGTGCTGTCAAGTCAGTTCTGACTTATGGCAACTCTTTTCATGGATATTCTGGGTAGAGAATAGGCAGAAGTGGTTTACCATTCCCTCCTTCTGAGAGCGCCCTGGGACTGTGCAGCTTGCCCAAGGCCACACAGGCTGGCTCCTCTCCCAGGAGGCATAGCGGGGAATCAAATTCCAAATTGGCTCTGAAGCCAAATACCTAAACCACTGAGCTATCCAGCCAGCAACATTCACAGAAGAAGGAGCTTATACGGAACTAGTCAATGGCAGGAATCCCATTAGCATTTGGTTAAGGGATGCGTAGCTTGCTGCAGTAAATTGCAGCTAATTGACGAGATCTTGACTTTGGCATATGACCAGGCATATGACCAAGATGCACCCCAGCACCTTGACAGTTAGTTGTTGCAAGTTACACAAACCTTGCACAACGATCGGCAGGATTCCAGTCAATATATTTCTGAGTTTCCACATGTCGACAGAAACTAGCAACATCAAATTTTAGGTCGATCTGCAGGTGTTATGCAGAACACCTGTGCCATTTTGCCCTATGGCCCCAATCTTTTAAGTGCCTGGCCAACATCCCTCGTTGCTCTGTGTGACCCTCTTCCCTCTGGAATAACAAAGGTCACCTGTCTGGTCAGCAAGCAAAAGAGAACACAAGAGACCCTTCCCTGGACTTGTTTTCACTGCTACTCCAGAGGCTGACTTTCCACAATTGAATTCTCCTTTGTCTGCAGGGATCCTCTCTGCTTCTCTCATATGCCATGCTAGATGGGGTCCCTCCTGGCACAATGTACATTATTTCTAGGGCTAAGTGAAAACGCCCCTTCCAGAAATGTGCCAGCTCATTTGCAAAGAGCTGGTCTGGAGCAGTTGTCAAATTGGGGACATACAAGGGTTCGCCTAGGGGCTTCCCAAAAAGGAGCTGCTATGTTTCTTTTTCTTTTCAGCCTTAGAATCAGAAAACATATGAAAGCAAATGTGTGTTTCCCCCTCTGACCTCATTATCCCTCCAAGCACGCAAATCTTGCAGTACTAGATGCATGAGACCTTGAATATGCAAACAAAGCCATACTATCTCCCAACTGGCCATTGATCAAGCAAAAAAAAGAAAGAAACCATTAATTGGCCAAATGTGCATTCAGGCAAGTTCATGTTGTATCTTCTAGATACAGAATCACATCTTCATGTAGTGAGCCCTGTAGAATCATGGGATCATAGGAGTATGGATGTGGAAGGTACCCTAAAGGTCATGTAGTCCACCCTTCAACAATGTAGAAATCCACATCTAAATCATCCCTAATGAATGGCCATCCAGCCTCTGTTCAAAACCTTCAATAAAGGAAGGTCCTTGACCTTCCATTGTCATCTGTTACACTACAGAACAGTTCTTATTATCGGGAAGTTCTTCCTACTGTTGAGTTTGAACCTCCTTTGTTTTAACTTGGTTAGTTTTTCCAGTTCTTTATTTTCAGCTCTGGCATCACCTGGAATTGCAATCTGAATGATCTAGGCATTTCTTTGTTCTGCTATTATTTGTGAAGTGTGTTATGTTCAAGATGTCTATCAGTTTGAATCGGGAAATCACACCAGATCTTGATTTCCTCATTTTCTGACACCTTCTCTCTCTCTCTCTCTCTCTGTTGTCCTTGTTGAAAAACACTAGACACAGTCAAGTTATAAAAACATTGATATTATATAACAGATACAAGTTTTAACCAAAAACCTAAGTAATCTGTTTAATATTGGCACAGTATTTATGCTGTTCCTAATATTGCTGTTTTGGAGCTCTAACGGTGTGATTTCTGAAATCTGCAACTGCTTATACCACTGTGTAAAATTTCTTGATATTGTTCCCAAGCCCCAATGACTACAGGTACCACTGAAGTGTGTTTCTTCCAGAGGCGAGATGTTTCGATTGCCTGGTCACTGTGCTTTGTTAGTTTTTCCAATTCTTTATTTTCAACTCTGGCATCCCCTGGAATTGCAATGTCAATGATCCAGACATTTCTTCATTCTATTACTACTATGTCTGGGGTGCTTCAAGGCATCTATCAGTTTGGACCCAGAAATCTGACAAGATCTTGACTTCCTCATTTTCTGACACCTTCTCTGCCTGATGTTCCCATAGGTTTTTGGTGGCTGGCAGTAATTATTATGATTATGATTATTCAGGAATACCAGGCACAGTCAATCAAACGTATAAAAACATTGACTGGTGTTCTACAACAGATACAAGTTTTAATCAAAAACCTAAGTATCCATTAAATATTGGCGGAGTATGTATGCTGTTCCTAATATTGCCATTTTTGTAGCTCTGATAGTGTTGTTGGTGTTGGTGTTGTTATATATGGTGGATGGGGGGGGGGACTTTTGATTTACAAGGCTTTTATCAACAAACCTGTAGGTGGCACTGCTAAATTTTGAAATGGGTTAACTGCCTCAAAACAAATCCTAAAGTGATCTGGTTTTTAAAAGCTGTTTGGCACTTATGTATTTAAAAGCAGTCACAACAGTTTTTGGAGGATGCTCATGGGCAAATCTAAGCTACGTCTATGAAGAGGGTCAGTTACATCTTCTCAGTGAGCCTCATTCTCTCTATATCTTAATCATACACCAGTCTCTGTTTTGTTTTTTTGGTCTGCATACGTGTGTATACAATGATTGCTCCCAATAGATACCTGGCAGAATTTCTGCTTTCCACCTGAACAGAAAATACTTCATGTTCTTTTTGGTATGTTTCTTCCATGTGCCTCTCCCTCTTTATTTATGATGGGGTCCCTTAATGGTTTTGCCTTAATATGTGTCTAAGTACATAAAGACCATTGAAGTTGTCAGACAGGTTTGGCATCATCAGAGAAGGGAGAGTTCTAATTTGGGGAAAGCTGGGAAGGGTATATCATGACCTGTAAACTTACAGTACTTCTCATTTTTTTACCGGATGTGGCACTATGTTCTTTCCTGAGAGTTGGCCCAAATGGTGCCAAGAGCAGTCAGTATCCATGCTGGTTGTGGAATTCTGGTAATCTTAAAAAACAATTCTGGGTTATATTATGAAAGTGATATTTCTAAAATAAACATTGGATGGAGAGAATGGGGCACTTCCCATAGTTCTTGTATGCATTCCTTACATCACATGAAATAAGGACTCTCTTGCATACACACCCCACCCCCAAGATTTCAGCGTCACTCCCAACTCTCCACTAAATTCAGATCACAGTGAAGTTACTTTCAGACTAAGAATCTTGCTCACAGCTGAATCCACAGTGGATTCATCTGCAGGCAGGTTCTTGAACAGAGCTTTAAGACAAGCCAAAGGGGGGGAGAAATGCCCCTCATTGCCCCCTCCTGTCTCCTCCCAAGTCTGGAAGCAGGTTTTCTAATTTTTTAGTTGTAAGTGATGCAATGCATTTGTGCTGCCTTCATAGAGTCTTTTTTTCTCACTGGAGGACCGGAGAAAGTGTTTAATTTACCAATATACTGAAGCAGCTCTCTTCTTAAGCTACTTCCTAACATGGCAAATTGACAGCAGCAGGCAATTTTACAGCCACAAGACTCACTCTGGTTTGTTTCCAGTGATCACACATTCTGGAAACAAACCAAAATGGAGTTATCCTACCTGCACCAAAAAAGGAGACACCCATGACAGGGACCCAGAAATGTGTTGGTAGGAATGCTGAGGCAACTTGCTGGTTTCCTCCAGCGAATATTTCATGTAATCACTGGAAAAGGGATTGAACCAACCTCTTCTGGCAACAGATCAAACACCAGGTTAAATGCCCATCTGATCAGAGCATAAAACTCTGAGATTCTCCTAATCAGCATGACTTGACTTCTCCAGATTTTGTAAAGTTGCATACTAAAAAGGCAGAAATAAAAGCACTGCCACTCTTATTAGTCAGGTTTTCCCAAAATTATATTTTTACAATTAATTTCGAAAACTTACTTCTGTGGGAGGGGAGTCCAAAGAAGTACCTTTCTAAGCTTTACTTCAGAGTCATCTTCAAGGATAGCCCCATGTATGATGCATCACAATAGTCCAATCCAGAGGATAGCAGAATGTGAACCCTAGTGGTCAGACTGTTCCTCTTCAAGTATGTTCATAATTGCATTCCTAGAGAGTAGAGCCATCTGGGGCTCAAGTGATATTGCCGAAGCTAAGAGCACCTCTAAGCTACACACACCTGCTTTTTCAAAAGAGGAGAAGCCCAGCTTTGCAGTTCAATGGTGGTGATGGCAGTTAAGTAAAGGCGGCATAGGGACACTCAGTTCCTGGATGTAAGAATCACCTGTCCACAGGACGCTTGTCTTGTTGAAAGTCTACTTATTGGCCCTCTGCCATTATTACTGGTTCAGCAGCTGTACTCTAGGCACTGGTTTAGCAGCTGTGCAACCTCACCTGGAACAAAGGAGGAGGAGAAATGGAGAGAAAAGGTGGTCAGCAAATTCATGACACCTCACTCCCGATTCCAGTGCTCAGTGGAGAGCCAGACTTAGAAAAGATAAGCATTGGACCACAGGTCTTTAGGCACCATGTTCACTTCCAATGCTGATTCTGGGACTTCTGGTCCAAAAAAGTAACCTTTCCAAGCTTTGAGTGGGGTTTCAAATCTGTCTTTCTCGTGCCTGTGTCCAACACCACACACAATACCACACTGGCTCTCCATCACACATCCAGAAAGCAAAAATGGAGGGGGGGGCCCATGCTCTCACTCTTGTCTCACTGGAGCACCATTTGGGCCAACTCTCAGGAAAGAACATAGTGCCACATCCGGTAAAAAAATGAGAAGTACTGTAAGTTTACAGGTCATGATATACCCTTCCCAGCTTTCCCCAAATTAGAACTCTCCCTTCTCTGGTGTCACCAAACCCATCTGACAACTTCAATGGTCTTCATGTACTTAAAGACACATATTAAGGCAAAACCATTAAGGGACCCCATCATAAAGAGGGAGAGGCATATGGAAGAAACATACCAAAAAGAACATGACGTATTTTCTGCTTAGCATAGGAAGAAGAAAACTGAACAAGGATGCCACTCAAGAGAAAGAGAACCTGAGCCTTTTATTAGAGGATTGCTCAATGACACCCCGAGCTCCTGCTCTACTTCATATAGGCAGGTCATCTATTGGAGCTTGATTGCCACAGGAGACCAAAGCAGGAAGGTCAGTGGTCAAATCGGACAGGAAGGAGGGAAGTCACAAGGGACTTTAAAGCTATTTCACAAGCCAGCAAAGCAAGACATCCTACCAATTGCACAACCCTCGGTTGCCAAGCACAAGCTACAGAGCCTGATGTGTGTGTATAGATGTGTGTGTATATATTGGGTTTTAAACAAGCAGTTGTCAGGACCTAATCCCTGACATAGTTTGACCCTTTGACAAACAGCATGGAGTTGCAACATATGGGTGAGTACACTTTACGTATCCTGCTGCTAAAAGGAATAACTGAACCAGAAGAAAAATGGGCAGCTGTGTTTTGTTCAAGGCCTACTAGAAAAGGGGGTCAGCAACAGATCTCCCACTGAGTCAAATATGGCCCTCTGAACTGCCTAAAACCCCCATTTCCCTATCTTGCCACCTATTTCTTTCACTACTTTCTGATCTGATTCCGTGGAGCAGGGATGACAGTGAGGAAAAAGGAAAAGAAACAGCAAACCAACATCCCAAAGAATGAAACGTCACATGGTCTGAAGTAGTTACTAGAGCAGTGATTGCCAGCCTTGGGTCCCCAAGTGGTCTTGGACTCAAATTCCCAGAAGCCTTCACCACTAGCTGTGGTGGCCAGCATTTTTGGGAGCTGCAGTCCAAGAATACCTGGGGACCTAAAGTTAGAAAGTACTGTATAGAGAGCCCGAGGAGAGAGAAATAATGAGGCACAAGCCTATCTCTGAGTGTCCCCCCCCCCAGCCTCCATGTGCACACCATCCCCAACGTTCTAGCTTGGATTAAAATAGGAGTTGTCATCTAAAACATCAAGAGGGAACCCCATTTGCGAAGGCTGACCTATGCCTGGGAGCTTGTCTTCTTTCTGGAATGGCTTTTGACACATTCTCTCTCTCTCTTACACACACACACACAAACACAGAGAGAGAGAGAGAGAGAGAGAGATCCCTGAAGGAAACAGATCACCAAAAAAGATGCATTTGGACTTTTGCATCACATTTGTATGTGGTCATTTATATGGCTTGATGGAAATGTAGGAATTCTTACCCCAAATTGAAATCAAAGAAATCAAAGAAGACTTCGACCAAGTGACTTGCATGCTTGCTCAGTTTGTTGTTCAAACTAAGGCCTGGGAAAAAAAGAGATCCCCATTCTCCCTTGTTATGGTTATCTTTCAATCAGATTTGGACTTGACGTGGTTCAAACAGAGGATGCTCCTTCCTCTTGCCTCCAGCTCTGTTTCAGACTCACTTTGATTCTTTCATGTGTAAGTTCCTTAGTGACAAAGAATTTGGGGAGGGGGCTGAGGAATGCACCCTGTACCTTGCCATCACTACATACACAATGACTCATCCTAATAACCCAGGTTTACTGACAAAGAGGCTTCATTCAAATGCATTTCCCCTGTCAGTTATATCCTTGATCCCCTGGGTAATTTGTGAAGGAAACTTTAGGAGCCTTGAAAAGACAGACATGCCAATCTAAGGTTTCCATTTCCACATTAGCAGCAGTTCTTTGAAGACACATCTTGAGCTACCTTCCTTGTAGAATAACAAAGCTCTTCCCTCTTTGTTTTAAGACCACCTTGCAGTTCACTCTGCAAACATAAGGTCCTCCCAGCTTGCAATATGAGTTCCACTTCAATTTTTGTCTCACGACATCTGTCTTTGCATCTTTTATTTCATCTACCCCTCTCAGCCTCTCCTTGTCTCTTTCTTCGTCTGTCAGCAAAACAGGATGGTTGACCTTGTTGCAGAGCAACCGAGCATAGACAACACGACAACCCACCAGCCGGCCGTTAGCTGGAGAACATTGCTGTATTGTTACTTATTTTAGCAGATTCTAATCATTTACAGCGTGCTGTGGTTTATTATCTTCCCTCGTATTTTCTTTTACTTTGCAATATTTGTTTCTCCTTCATTCTGCTGACTGATGACTTCGTGTTACAACATTGTGCAAGATGGTAAACAGGAACACTCTGCCAACTTTCTCTGTGCCATTCATTATTTTGGAAAGTTCAGTTGCTTCCGTCTCTCTCTGTGTGTGCATACATGAAACTCTGCTGTCATTTATGTTCTTGTTTGTTCTTTCTTTTTTGACATTACAACATCTCCTGGCGTTTCTTTCTATCTTTCTTTTCTTTTAAGCAGAGTGGATCTATTTATTTAATTGGGTGCTAGATTTTATTTTAAAATCAATATACAGTGGTGCCTCGCTAGACGATGATAATCCGTTCCACTGAAATCACTGTTTAGTGAAATCATTGTCTAGCGAAAAGCATTTCCTCATTGGACTGCATTGAACCCTGTTTAATGCGTTCCAATGGGGAAGAATCGTTGTCTAGCGAAGATCGGCCATAGGAAAGCTGCTCTGCGAACCGCTGATCAGCTGTTTAAATCACTGTCTTGTGAAGCTTAGGTCCCGCAAACATCTGTTTTGCGAGCGCGGAGGAAGCTGTGAAAATCGTCGTCTAGCGAAAATCGGTTTGCGAAGCAGGGACCAAACATTGTCCAGCGAAATTCCCCTATAGGAATCACTGTTTTGCGAATCGCTATAGCAATCACAAAAAGTCAGTGTCTAGCGAAAAAACTGTCATGCGGGGTAACTGTCTAGCAAGGCACCACTGTACTGTGCTACCTAATGGTGTATCTGGCTGGATAGCTCAGTGGTTTAGGAATCTGGCTGCATAGCGAGAAGTTGGGAGTTCCATCCTCTCATGGCGCCTCCTACGTACGAGTAGAGCCAGCCTGTGTGTCTTTGGGCAAGCCGCACAGTCCCAGGCTGACCCCAGAAGGAGGGAATGGTAAACCACATTTGAGTATTCTCTACCTGGAAAACTCTGAAAAGTGTTGCCATAAGTCATAATTGACTTGATGGCACATGTTTATTATTATTTCAACTAGTGGTGCAAGACATCTCAATACATAAAACAGTTGGTACCACAAAGAATCTATTTTTCCCCACCCACCTACCTAGGGCTTGGCGCCTACATGGTGTGCAAATCAAAAGCATTCATCAGTGGGTTTCCTCTTTCTTCCCCTCTTCTGTCATCTACATTCCTACAACTGCTCTGTTGCCTTTTGCTTATAGAAGCTCCCAGTGTTGGATCAATTTGAGTCAGCAGTGGTGTGTAAGTTCCTTGAAAAAGTCCCATCAACTACATCAATTGTCTGCGAATCTAAAGCTGGTTTCCTCTTTCCTACCCAGTGTTGTCCACTGTGACTTTCAGTAGGATCTCAGGCTGAGTCTTTTCTCGGTTCTGCACCCAAAGGCTCTGCTTTAATGATGTTGATGGAAATCATATCACAGATCTTCTGCCTCAGAACAGCCTTGCTAGATCAAAGCAAAGGCCTGTCCAGTCTGACATTCTGTCCATGCAGTAGCCAAGCATTTCTCCCCTGGAAGTCTGTGGAGCAGATCATGAGGGCAAATGTACCCTTTGTCTCAGGTTGCCCAGCAACTGATCAGCTTCTCCTCTTGCTTACTGATCAACTGGTTAGGGAGGACTAGCCTAGTGAGAGTTGGACAAACAGTTTTCCATTCATTCAATGCAGGTTGTGAAATCAGCCCTTGGCAGTCTGCCTCCCCCTAAGCATCAAATAAAAAAGTGTTGAATGTAGGCATCCTTCGGTCTCGAGAGACAATGGTAACATGCTCTGAATAGAGGTCTTGGAACAGTGTCTAGTGTGGCTGAGGAGGCCAATTCAAGAGTGACAATCCCTTCCACACTGAAGACAAAAACAATCTGTCCCCTGTCCAGCTCCCTGATTTGGCTGCTTTCGGGACTGCCTCTTTGCCTCGGCCTGCTGGACAAGGGTCTCTTCAAATTGGGAGAGGCCATGATGCACCGCCTGCCTCCAGGCTGAACGCTCAGTTTCCCATCTGTTGAGATCAATTTCTAAGGCCTTTAGATCCCGCTTGCAGATCAATTTCCAAGGCCTTTAGATCCCGCTTGCAGATATCCTTGTATCGCAGCTGTGGCCTCCCTCTGGGACGCTTTCCCTGCACTAGTTCTCCATACAGGAGATCTTTTGGAATCCTACCATCAGCCATTCTCACGACATACACACGCCAACGTAGACGTCACTATTTCAGTAATGTATACATGCTAAACATGCTAAAATTCTGGCTCGTTCTAGGACTACTCTATTTGGAACTTTGTCCTGCCAGGTGATACCAAAAATCCATCGGAGGCAACGCATATGGAAGGTGTTCAGCTTCCTCT